CCTTGCGGGCAATAATCCAAAAAAATTGTGAGATTTGAGATTTTTACCGCGGCGAGAATGAATAATGTCTGTCTTCTTGGTTTCTGCGCTATGTAGCCTTGTAGAACTTCCTTCATCAGGGCTATAACCTCATCCCCCTGATAATGGACTCATAAACACCTCTGAAACGTCGGTACATTTCTACCAGAATCCACAGCGTAACATCACATAAGACAGCCATCTTTATAAACCAAAAATTCTTCTTGTAATGCGAGTTTCTTTGAACACGCGTCTCGTATTAGTTTCTGTAATACAAATTTAGCCTAAATTCATCAGCCTAACTCAATTTTTATAACAGGCGCAGATCACAAACAACCTAGAAATATGATATATCAGTTTAAGGCAATTTTTTATGATAAAGTATTTAAGCCCTAAGCTCTCGTACAATATTTAATCAACGATAAATTCACTTAACTTGGCGAAATTAGAGTTTCTACGTAAATATTTAGCAGTGAAATGTGACTGGCTAAAGAATAGTCTTTTAGTCGTAATAGGCCTTAAATTATTAACCAACATTGGTTAGGCACAGGCTGAGGTCAGACCTCTCCGAGGTTATTCAGAACAGAAATTTTTATTATGACTACGATGATTAGGCAGTATGTAATTAGTTGATAATCAAACAAGGAAACGAAGACTTCGTGATGACACAAACGTAAGAATACATTAATGAATGTCCATCCCAGAGGCTCGTTCATACATAGATATTTACGTACACCGTTTTGTCGAAAATCATCGTAATCGCAAGGTGACCGAACACCTGCGTTTACTCAGTTCCTAACCAAACAGCGTGCGCTGGTTCTGGGGTGGACGGAGCTCGTGTTAAATATTGAAACGTCGACCGCCGAAGACTGTATCGAGGGAAATGGGAACGCGCTCGAAACGAACTTCTTGGAAGACGGAAAAATCTGGCACGACCAGACATCGGACCAAGTGGAATATTAGGAATGTGCTTTGAGAGCGACGCGGACGGTTTTGAATGAATGAGCTTTCGGTATTGTTGAGGAGGTCTGACACAAATTTTTAAACGCGGCAAAGCAGGAAGCCCCAGGAACGACTGGAGGTGTTAAAAGGACTCAGAATTTGTTTTGTTTATAGACAAAAATGTTTTTCTAACCGCAGTCAGTAGTGAAAAAAGGTGAAAAACATTTGCAACAATAAATAAAGTCGCTTGGAACATTGTTACAAACTTTTCCTTTTTCAACAGTTTTAAATTTTGAGTCCGATTGTTGAGGCTTGAAAAATTTTACTCTGTCATTGTTAACCAAAAAATATCTGTAGGTCTGAGTGAAGCTTTTTACGTGGTAAATAAATTCAATATGAGATTGAATTTGGGAAAATAATTTCGCTGTTTTGTTCAGAATAATTCAGGCTTTTTTCAAAGTTATGACTATAAAAATTATTAGGCCTATAAACCTATCAACCTACACGTTGGTATATGTAACTTTGTCTCACAAACCAAAGGTCAAAGGTTATTTTAATCTGTTCTTTTTAATGTTTATCATCGTCTAAATATTATAAAATTATCACGTTTTGACCTTAGATTTTGTTTCTGTAATGAGACAAATCTGTGTTTTAAAACTTAATGATGAACGGAATTTCGTAATGTAGGTAAGTCCGTGGACTTGTAAGATTTGAGGTTCCACGGACTTTGTTTAAATTTGGTATTGGAGGTATTTAGAACTCTTTTAGCTGTCTGTTACAATAATTATGTCGGCATTTTCCCTGTCATCGCCTGACTTAACACAAAACTCGGTTCGCAGTTCCTACTGACAGGTGACAACAGAATTTCGGAACTGAAAGTTTGAAAAATTTAAACAGTCTCTAGGATAAGTTTTGTTTTGCTACGACCTGAAGAGGGAAGTAAAATTTAACCTTTTCATTTATTTCGTCGATAAAATAGCCCGTCTATCGCTGAGCTTGCCTCATGATGAATGCGTGAATAATCAACTTCGCACTAAAACAGATTATCTCTGTCCTTTTTTCAGGTCCGGCCTCTGAAGAAACTAGGATGAACGCGTTTAACAACTACCGATTTGTTCTTCTGGGTTGAAACACCAACATTTAAGAGAGACATGCCGTCAACATCTTCAGGGTTTCAGCCCTCCGTCACAACCCAGAAGACAGACATCGTAGTTATGACGCCTTCAAGAACCTCAGATCATTCAGAAAACTTTTCTCCTTAGGCCGGTAGTTGAATCCTATTTGAGGTTATGACATCAGATGCTTTTTAAGGCCCGGAGATGTTTTGTGCGAGGCTCAGACCTCAGACCTTAGACTAGTGGAGAGTTTTATACGTGCAGAACAGCAAATTGGCCTCATTATTTTGAAAGAGATTCCTCCGGGTGTCTGCTCAGCCTACCTGGGCGGCCATGACGCGCTGTCTCTCGGCGATGAGCGTGCATTTGGCACACACACAGTCCCGCCATCTGCAGTAACGCTTGTGACCCTTGAGGGCCGAAACGACTCCGTGGTTTCGGCAGCGCGCACACTTCGGGGTCCGCTGATACCGCTCCGTGGCCCGGAGGAAAAAGGCTGGCGGAATGGCCCCCAGCACGGGGTGCTGAGACATGAGGGCCGAAACGTCCATGCCACTGGGCAGACTCATGATGCGGGCGGTTCTAGAAGTCCAGAAGTGCCCCCGGTCGAGTCTTTCCCTGTCGCGAAAGTCCGTGGCGAAGATTTTGGCTGTTACGTTGATTTTGCACCACAGATGGCTCCGCTGTAGTACATGATCACTGACGACTGAGTTATCTCGCGATTTTTGAACTAAAAGAAGGCGTTACTTAAGACACTGGTTGATGGTAAGTCTTATTACCACAACACAACGTGGACAAAAATATAAGATTTCAAAAAGTCTCGTCATTGTGACGTCTTGTTGATGGAATCAAAATAGTCTTTGCTTACCAGAGCTTGGTAACGTTCTAAAATTCTTTTGTTACGTTGTCTGAAATTTTAAGCTTTGTTTACGTACGTAGTTCTTAGATAACCATCGAGGAACACACAGTAAAAAAAACTTAACACACCCAGCGAGTAATTCCAACTTAAATTTTAAGCACTTATTGTCAGATTATAGAGTTCTTTTCTGCTGTGTAACACTTGACATCGGTTAATGACTTTTGATAATGATGACAAGAAAAATTAAGATTCTTTTTATTGTGAAAACCACTGACGAAAAATCCTCGTCACTGCCCGGATGTCTTTATGTAATGTTTTCTGATTATAATAAATTCAAAGCGCGATGAAGTTCATTTATGTTTAAATCTATTCATTATTTATAACCAATCAAAACACACGTTTTTTGTTTATAACTGAATTTATAAAATGTGTTTATTTTGAGTTCTTAGTTAATTAAAATTGGGGCCTTGTAACAAAGTGGAAGTCTTGTGGACTGATTTAATAACAAGTAACGTCTAATAGAGAGTGCACAAACCGAAACGTCTTCTGTCTTCAGAGCGAGATTGTCTCAAATCTCGCATTTTTTTAGCGCACGTTCCCAAAAATCTCGTCGGCTCCGAGATTACGAAAGTTTCCCCAAACTACCGCAAAACGCGCACTTTCTCGCAGCGTCAACACGTGGCGTGCTCGACGTATTTCGACGTTTCGAGCGATTTTCTTCGCACAGACGTCGCTGGGAGCCGCGAATCGGTCCAGGAGCTGAGATACATCTGCCGTTACAGTTTTCAGAACACTCTTTGTTGTGGCTCTCGGGTTCCACGCGCATCCAGCGCCGCGCACGTGGGACGAACTGAAACAGTTTCAATCCAATGCATTGTTGGTAGGTGTGTTTTAATCCCAGCGTCGCCCGCGATGCTGCCCGCAGTACACCCTGCCCGAAAATGTTATTCGAGGAGCCCGGAGTGGGCGTGGCCCAAGTCGCTACTCTGTCTGTTTGCAGATGTTGAAATTGTGTCCCGTTGGAGGGGGAAGGCGTTTACTGTTGGCCGCATACGGCGAGGCGGCGGCGTGGGGGAAGTTACTCTTGTTTTCACGAGCCAGCCAATAGGGAGAGCCGTCTCAGTCAGGCGCATCCTGTACGCCCCGCCCATCACGTACACTGATACAGTTGGTTGGATGCTGGGGTTGTAACTTTTACCTTACCCCGCGGCGTCCTTTGAGAGCTCTTTCGTCTTATTCTTCTTCTTATTCTCTCTTTATGGATCTCCGGTCCCTTGTTTCAGTTGCGGACAACAACGACACATGTGTCACTAACAGTGCTCTCAACTAACCCAAGAAAGAAATTCCTGTCTTTTATGGATCGCGAAGGTTCATAACCGTATTCACAAAACCCTGATATTGATCCCTACCGCGAGTCATAATTAATATATCGTCAAACCTTATTTTTCTAAGATACATTTTAATATTATCTTCCCATCTACACCTTGGTCTTCCTAATGCTCTCTTATCCTCACCCTACAAACGTAAATTAAACCGAAACTCCATGAAGGCGTATTGGGAAAAGGAGGTTCTTAATATTGACATCAGATGGAGCTTCAGAGCTTTTAGAACGGGGAGATAAAGTCATCATCGGTGCTTGGGGGAGGCTGAGGCCTACGAAGCCTCCGGGCCCCAGGAACCCGAAGTGGAAATCGGCCTGTGATCTCTTTAGGCCGAATCATGCTTTGAGTTGGTGATGTTTTTCTGTGTCAAGCAAGATCACGATAAATTAGTGAACCACTGTAGGGCCTAATTTAAATAAGGTCTATTATCTTGTCATAGATTTTCCTGTCGAGGCGATGGTGAATGAGGAAAATCATAATAGTGTGGGATTTGATGTTTAGGCTACAGCAGAATTATTAGCCTAAACAAACATTTGTGATACTTCTTAGATCTATCCATTGTAAATTAGTGATTATCTTTGCTAAAATATAGAATAATATAGACTCATCTTCAATAGGCCTTAATGAAAACATAAGTTTCGCAGACAACCGAATTTGTGCTCAGACTCACTAAGTCGTGATTAGTGATTATCTTTGCTAAAATATAGAATAATATAGACTCATCTTCAATAGGCCTTAATGAAAATATAAGTTTCGCAGACAACCGAATCTGTGCTCAGACTCACTAAGTCGTGACGGTAGACGTGCTTTAGGTTAGGTTAAGTAAGGTTAGTTTAGGTTAGGTTTGGTTAGGTTAGGTTAGGATTGGTTAGGTTAGGTTAGGTTAGGTTAGGTTAGGTTAGGATTGGTTAGTTTAGGTTAGGTTAGGTTAGGTTTGGTTAGTTTAGGTTAGGTTAGGATTGGTTAAGTTTGGTTAGGTTGAGTTGGTAAATGTGATTTAGCCCCACGTTTGTCTGTATTTTTCTTATATTAAAGGATAGGTCCTACAGACTAGCTTAACTTATTAATTAGGCTCGAAGATGGCTGTCTTCTGGGTTGTTACGCCGTTTACCAACATTTCAGAGGTCCTTGATGAGTCGTCGCCCCGATAATGGAGGCAGCGAAGTCCTGTGAAACTATATTAAACTTCTGTCAGACGACACGACGTAACAACCCACAAGACGGTTCATCTTTGGTTTCACCGCCGTGAAAACCTCAAATCATATTCATTAAAACGTGTTTTTTTTTAAATGTTGACTCCAGTGTTCTTGGCTTCCAAATCGATTTTTTTTCTGTTTTCCCGGAAAACACGAGACTGGATTTCTTCTGCGCACCACGTGGTTTAACAATCAGTAGGACTAAGTCTTAACTTTTCTTCACAGAGTGTATTTAAGGGTTTCGTATGATTCTCAGAATAAACAGCAATTATTTCCTTAACCAGCGTTAAACGCTTGATCTTTGTAATGGTGAGGCGCTGTGTTTTCTTCGCGGTACGGACTGATAGTTTAATTGGTGTTTAAATGAGCTTTGTGCTTCAGTCAAGTCGATCAACGTTTTCCTTGGGGATTTAAGAGCACGAAGATTGCTTCAAACTCATAGGCCCACGTGTTGGAATGCCGTCAGCTGGGGACCCATTCGCGAGCTGAGAGACGCAGTTCCAGGAGCGCGTTCTACCTGCTCCTGTAGAGAACACCTGAGCTTCGGGCCAGCTGGCCCCCGCGACTCTCAGGACGGAGCGTGCCTTTCTCCAGAGTCCTCGTCGAGAAGCTGATAGTTGCTCAGCTGTTCCAGAAATGACGCTTTATTTTTTGGACGAGAAATGCCTGTCTCTGTCCTGAGCAAGCTGAGTCCACTCCATATCCCCTCCGACTTACAAATATTCTCCCGTTCTGACCCTCAGGTGAACAGATGACTGTCGACTTCCATCTTGGTCTATAACAGTTTTTCTCTGCGTTATCCAATTTTCTCAGTTCATTTTCCCTCTTTCTCTGGTTCATTCTTCATTCCTATATTTCTCTTGTGATACTGACTCCTCCTCTCCAACCCCCTCACATTCGGACCTGCCGCCATATTTCACGGTTTGCGTCCACAGGATGTCAGGAACCCGTGTTTGATTCAATCATCCACCCTCCTCCTCCCCCCACACTCCCGAACCCCGCGTGTTATTCGCCTAAACCCAGGCTGAAACTCTCACCCCTTCCAACATTCAATCAGGACTTAAATTTATGACTGCGAAAAAAAATATTGGTCGTTGCGTTTTAAATTATGTTCTACAAATTGATTTTACAATCAACAAATAATGAAAAAAAAAAAAAATCACAACTGTCCCAGGTCTGGTTAGATGGGAACTCACAGAAATAATAGAAAAAATCCTGCAAACGCATGCATATGGGAAAAATAGAATGTTCGTCATTTAAATATATTTGAATAATCGTATTTGTCAGCTAGCTGGTGGGTCTGACGGTGACAGGTCCTTGACCACGGGTCCGTATGGTGGAGACATCTGCTGGCCGGACTGCGGCTCACTCCGACAGTTCCCAGATTCTTTTTACCCTCCAACCCCAAAAAACTCCAAGTTCCTGTCCGCTCTGCTGTGTTACGTTTTGTGGCCTGCGGGCCACAGGCTAGGCGACGGACGAGCGAAAATAATGAGAATTTGTCTTTGAAAGGTGCCCGGATCGAATCTCGTGTCGTGGCGTCATCTAAGGTTCCCGATTCTATCAGTACTAATACGGCTGGCATCTGGATTGAAGCGTCGTTTACCGACGTTTCGGAGGTCCTTGCTGACTCCACTTACTCATCGCCCTGGTGATGGATGTAGCAGAGACCTGCCATACGTCGGTAAACGTCTACCACACAACACGACATCTTGGAACTCTGTGATTTTCCTCAGTCTCCTAAAGCTAATGCCCGATTATTAGGCCAGACTTAAAATAGACCACGACCGCTTCCTTCAAACTGGGATGCTGCTCATGCATGATCCTCCCACCTCATCTCGGCAGAGCCACACGGCCGTGAAGGGACAGACAGACAGACACGGAAACAAAACGGACCAAATTTCGTCACGATACCGAAGTCATAACTCGGGTCTGACATTACTGGAGTTGCAGTTGAAACAGCGTCGTTGAATATCCCTAAATCCAAGCAAATGGTACGTTAGGGAGCAGCACGTAATAGCGAAGAAAGGACGGGAGGACGGGAGGATACGTAAATTAAGGAAAGGCAGAGACAAGATGACGTCATGACTTGCACTGCCACACAGCGGTGTACTTATGGAATCAGTTACATATCTTGAAGTAGTATTAACCGCATCCAAGAGATGGCAGAATTGAAGTAGTTCCAAATAACTCCATAAGATGGCAGCATGCGAACAGCTTTCATGTCCTGCCATCTGTAGGTCAATAGCGGTTTAATTTACAACGACAAGATGTGAAGTTCGCCGTTTGATTGTGATTACGTTTGGCGAGCTTTTAGGTTCTGACGCTCGACGAGTGTGAAGGGGACTGAGTTTTGAGTTGCTGTGTCGTGTTTTCTGCAAGAACGTCACTGATGTTTCGGTGCTGCATCTTGTATCCATCATCAGGGGTAATGTTTAGACCACGTCTGTCTGTCTGTCCATCCCTGAAACTAGTCCATTGCGCCACGAATCCCACAAAACAGCAGTGGGTTACAGACTCATCACCCATGCAGGGGTATTCTGAATGCCGGTGTTGTAGATTACAAACGAGCATAACTTAGGTAATTAATGAAGAGTTATTTTTTACTTTTGTGATGCCTGTGTTATTTAATGACGTTGTTTCAAATGCATAGGTTTCAGGCGACGTCCTTGTATTGCATAAGAGAAAATGATCATGCATGTGATAAATGGATATGGGTTTGGAAGGAGGCGGGCGTGAGCGAGAGAGACTGAGGAAAACAACAAAAGGTTCTAGTGAGTCGAGGTGCAGAGCATTGCTTCCTTGGTTTCTGCGTCACGCTACAGATGGCAGCACTCGCTGGTTACATGAGGGAAAGGGAGGGGAACAGTAATAGCCTACACACAAACGTATATATATTGGGAACGACCCATTTTTCAAGTGCCTGAGCACTGCGGGTCCCCCGGAGTTTAAGTTTTGGCCTGTGTGTGCAACCACAGTACAGCAGCCACGTTCCCATTACAAAGAATTTAATTATGCGTACAGGATGTAATATCAGAAATGTTACATTTTACCCCGGTCTCCCCTTTGAGGCGTTTTAAAAAAATGAGTTAAGGAAAAG